TTCTGGTGTTTCACATGTTTGTTTGGCATTGAATTTTGCCATGATTATGTTGGAAACTGCTTTGGGTCCCCCCAGGGGTGAGAAAAGCGATATATAAATACAGTAAATAAATAAATAAGCAGACATGCAAGTGGGGGAGGGGAGGAGGTGCTGGCCAAATGCTCATCATGGAAACTCACCAGGTGACCTTGGGCAAGACACATCCTCTATGGTAAGCAAGAGCAAAACCTCACTTAACAAATCTTGCCAAGAAAACTTCAGGCGCAACCTGAAGACAGATAACAACACGGAAGGAGCAACTGCCTCAAAATCTCACATCTCCTGCACTGAATGGTTGTGTTGGGAGGAATAGGATTTCGCTAGCTAGTTCTCCACCATCACTGTGACAGAGGACAAGGTGATGAGCAAAGGAAAGTGTTGGTTGATCCTCAAAGGATTTTGCCTTTTCTCTGTGTATGGATGAACCGTTACACCCAATTCTACTTCAGCTGCACGACCAAGCCAGATAGGAAGTGCAACCAAGTTCTGCTTCCCAGAGGGCGAGAGCAAGTGAGAGACCATGGGCCGAACTCTTATTGCCAAAAAGAAAGAAATGCTAAGGAATTCTACCATGGCAGGCTCTCCTTTCAAATTCACTGAGTTTTTCAGGACACCCTAAGAAGTGAACTGGACCCATGGCACTGAGGGTGAAGGAGAACAATCATTTCTCCCTCTGGGTGGTGCAGCGCAATAATAATAATAATAATAATAATAATAATAATAATAGGTAAAGGTAAAGGTTTTCCCCTGCGAAGAGCCGGCATTGTCTGTAGACATCTCCAAGGTCATGTGGCCAGCATGACTGAATGTAGCATGTAGCGCCATTACCTTCCCGCCAGAATGGTACCTATTCATCTACTCACATTTGCATGTTTTCGAACTTCTAGGTTGACAGATGCTGGGGCTGTCAGTGGAAGCACACGCCACTCCCCAGATTCGAACCTGCGACCTTTCAGTCAACAAGTTTAGTAGCTCAGCAGTTTAACCCACTGTGCCACTGTACATAAATCATTTTAGATTTATGTACTGTCTATATGCGACACTTCGATGTATTTTGTTAGCTGCCTCGAGTCCCTTCGGGGAGATAGTGGTGGAGTAGTAATAAAATGTATTATTATTATTATTAAACTTTATTTGTACCCTGCCCCATCTCAGGGTGGTTCAAAACGTACAAATAGAGTAACGTACGTGAAACAGGAATAAATAGAGTAACGTACGTGAAATAATATATACAAATAATAACACATCAGGCAATATAAAAAAGCATCAAGATAAGCTAAAACACAAGTAAGCAGCATTAACAATAAGAATGATAAACATTAGTTTAAACACAAGTGTTCCTATGAATTTAAAGAGGCCTACTACTCATACAGAAGTGGCCACTGATGGATCACCCACCTCTTCCTCCCACTTTCTCACCTGCATTCTCCCTTTGGTCAGTAAGCATTCCATCCAGTAAAGCTGAGAAAAAGCAGTGCTATCATTTGTCATTCAGTGGATCCCCCCATCCCAGTGTTTGCTGCTATTTCTGATTGCTCTCTTTCTGTCTACAATTCCCTACCTGTTCCTTTTTACCACCTCTGTGGACAATACAGCAGGAAGAAACAGAGCCAAAGAAAGCAGAGGCCTGCTATCCCTTTACCTACTACCTTCTTCCAACAGTGAGGAGTAAGTGAGGATGATTGGCATCTCTGAACCCTCATCATAGTCTTTCCCTCTGCCTGCACTCTTTAGCTCATTGGTGATGAAGTGGGAGTAACTGAGTTTAGATTAGGCTGATTAGAGGAAGTTGAGAAGGGGGGAGAGCAACTCCTCTCCTGACAAAAAAAAAAGAGCACCCAGCTCTTTAGTTTAGAACAATGTTTCTCGGCCTTCTTAATGCCGCGACCCCTTAAAACAGTTCCTCATGTTGTGTTGACCCCCCAAACATAATATTATTTTCTTTCCTATTTCATTACTGTAATTTTGCTAGTTATAAACCGTAATGTAAATATCTGATATGCAGGATGTATTTTCATTCACTGGACCAAATTTGGCACAAATACCTGATACACCTAAATTTGAACACTGGTGGGGTTGAGGGGGGATTGATTTTGTCATTTGGGAGTTGTATTTGCTGGGATTTATAGTTTAACTACAATCAAAGAGCATTCGGAACTCCACCTACAATGGAATTAAACCAAACTTGGCACACAGAACTCCCATGACCAAGAGAAAGTACTAGAAAGGAAAGAAGGAAGGAGGGAAGGAAAGAGGGAAGGAAGGGAGAGAAGGAAGGAAAGAAAGAGGTACAGAAGGAAGAATACAAAGTGGAAAAGAAAGAAAAAGGGGAGGAAAGGCAGGAAAGAGGTAAAGAAGGAAGGAGGGAAGGAAAGAGGGAAGGAAGGGAGAGAAGGAAGGAAAGAAAGAGGTACAGAAGGAAGAATACAAAGTGGAAAAGAAAGAAAAAGGGGAGGAAAGGCAGGAAAGAGGTAAAGAAGGAAGGAGGGAAGGAAAGAGGGAAGGAAGGGAGAGAAGGAAGGAAAGAAAGAGGTACAGAAGGAAGAATACAAAGTGGAAAAGAAAGAAAAAGGGGAGGAAAGTCAGGAAAGAGGTAAAGAAGGAAGGAGGAAAGGAAATAAAAAGTGAAAGAAGGAAGGAAACAGGGAGGGAAGAAAGGAGACAAAAGAAGGAGTAGAGAAAGGGGAAGGGAAGGAAGGAAAGGATGAAACCAAAGAGCAAAAGAAGGAATGAAAAAAGAGGTAGAGAAGGAAGAAAGGAGAGGAAGGGGAAGGGAAAGGGGGGAAAGGAATAGGTAGGTACCGCTCTTTCATAATAGCCCAGATATCTACCTCTACTTCGAAAATTCTTACTATAGGCCACAGCAACGCGTGGCAGGGCACAGCTAGTTATTTATATAGAACAGTGTTTCTCAACCTGGGGGTCGGGACCCCGGGGGGATCACAAGGGGGTGTCAGAGGGGTCACCAAAGACCATCAGAAAACACAGTATTTTCTCTTGGTCGTCGGGGTTCTGTGTGGGAACTTTGGCCCAGTTCTATCACTGGTTCAGAATGCTCTTTGATTGTAGGTGAACAGTAAATCCAAGCAACTACAACTCTCAAACATCAAGGTCTATTTTCCTCAAATTCCACCAGTGTTCACATTTGGGTATATTGAGTACTTATGCCAAGTTTGGTCCAGATCCATCATTGTTTGAGTCCACAGTGCTCTCTGGATGTAGGTGAACTACAACTCTCAAGGTCAATGCCCACCAAGCCCTTCCCGTACTTTCTATTGATCATGGGAGCTTTGTGTGCCAAATTTGGTTCAATTCCATCATTGGTGAAGTTCTGAATGCTCTTTCTTGTAGGTGAACTATAAACACCCCAGCAACTACAACTCCGAAATGACAAAATTGTCCCCACTTCCACCCCACCATTATTCAAATTTGGCCGTATTGGGTATTTGTGCCAAATTTGGTCCAGTGAATACATCCTGCAAATCATTTTGGTTCATAACAGTAGCAAAATTATAGTTATGAAGTAGCAACGAAAATAATTTTATGGTTGGGGGGTCACCACAACCTGAGGAACGATATTAAGGGGTCATGGCATTAGGAAGGTTGAGAACCACTGGGAGGGATAGCCAATAGTCCAGAGGACAGGAGCAGAATTCAAAACGATCTTGACAGATTAGAGAGATGGGCCAAAAATAACAAAATGAAGTTCAACAGGGACAAATGCAAGATACTCCACTTTGGCAGGAAAAACAAAATGCAAAGATACAGAATGGGGGACAATGCCTGGCTCGAGAGCAGTACGTGTGAAAAAGATCTTGGAGTCCTCGTGGACAACAAGTTAAACATGAGCCAACAATGTGATGTGGCGGCAAAAAAAGCCAATGGGATTTTGGCCTGCATCAATAGGAGCATAGTGTCTAGATCTAGGGAAGTCATGCTCCCCATGCTCTATTCCGCTTTGGTTAGACCACTTTACCTGGAATATTGTGTCCAATTCTGGGCACCACAATTCAAGAGAGATATTGACAAGCTGGAATGTGTCCAGAGGAGGGCGACTAAAATGATCAAGGGTCTGGAGAACAAGCCCTATGAGGAGCGGCTTAAGGACTGGGCATGTTTAGCCTGAAGAAGAGAAGGCTGAGAGGAGATATGATAGCCATGTATAAATATGTGAGAGGAAGCCACAGGGAGGAGGGAGCAAGCTTGTTTTCTGCTTCCTTGGAGACGAGGACGCGGAACAATGGCTTCAAACTACAAGAGAGGAGATTCCATCTGAACATGAGGAAGAACTTCCTGACTGTGAGAGCCGTTCAGCAGTGGAACTCTCTGCCCCGGAGTGTGGTGGAGGCTCCTTCTTTGGAAGCTTTTAAACAGAGGCTGGATGGCCATCTGTCAGGGGTGATTTGAATGCAATATTCCTGCTTCTTGGCAGGGGGTTGGACTGGATGGCCCATGAGGTCTCTTCCAACTCTTTGATTCTATGATTCTATGATATATAAGATGTAATCTGGACCCCATCCCTGCCTCCCCTCTGACTCAGAGACAAGAGTGCAGGGAAGACTCTCCTTTGAGGAAGTGACTGATCCATCCACATTCAGCTCCTCTGCAAAAGGAACAAACAAGCACCGGTTTATTGAGTCTCTCCGTGGACAACCCAGGCTTCCATCCTCCTCGCAGAGGAAAAGTAGAGACACTCACTGCGCGCCTGAACCCTTCCCTGCCCAAAACTCAACCAAGAGGGAGGTGGTGAACCAGACCTGTTTTGGAGGGGATCCTTTCCTTTCCTATCGTCCTTACTCCCAAGCAAGCAAGACCAGGGATCGGGCTATCAAAGGGTTGTGTTCCCTAGGCACCCCATTTCCCCACTTTCCCTCCATACACCCGCTTTCCGGAGGCGAAGATTTCCCCGGCGCAGGACGCATCTCTCCGTTTCCCAAAGGGAGCCAGCGCGCATCTCTTACCCAGCGAGGCGGTGCCTGGTCCACGTCCTCCAGCCTGGAGGGAAGTTGGCCTCCGAAACCTCCCTGTCTTCCTTCTTCCCTTCCTTCTTCCCTTCCTTCCTTTCAGGGCAGTTTTGAGCGAGAAGCCAAGTTCCCGGGAAAAACTCCGGAGCTGTTTCCCTCTTCCCTAAAGTCCTCTAGCCTTTCCTCCACGATGCCTTTGCTTTTATCCTTATCAGGAGTTGTTGTTTTTGTTACTACTACTACTCCTTATTTCCCACTTCTTTCTGCAGTTGCTTCTGATCTCTTCTGCCAAATTGTCCCGGAGAAAAAGTCGCCCGAGGCTGCTCTCTCTCTTGGCTCCACGGAGATGAATGGCTGGATTTGAGTTTCGTGGCTTTTCTGCCAAACGCGCCCTCGCTCTTGCTCTCTCTCTCTTGCTCTCTTTCTCTCTCTCTCTTCTCAGGTAGGCGGGCGGAGGACGGAGGAGGTTCCTTCAGCTGGCAGCTACTTGGGAACGGGAGGCGGCTGGAGCCAAGCCTGGCTCTTGCTGTGGGCGGGGGAATATTTATTTGCTTCTCTTTCTCTCTCTCTTCACAGCCTCTGCTGCCTGTCCCTAGCTAAGGGGAACTCAGAGCCCTGGAGCCTGAATAGCCAGCAAATGGAATTCAGCCCCCTTTAGTGCCAGGAATGGGTGCTCCTTCCTCTTTGGAAGAGCTGCCTTGGAAGCCCACCAGAGGAAAATATTGAATGGCCAGTGGGCAGACTCTAGGGATGCCAAGCAAGACCCTTCCCACTCCAGCATTGATCTTGGGGTTCATTATTATTATTATTATTATTATTATTATTATTATTATTATTAACTTTATTTGTATCCCCGCTAGCATCTCCCGAAGGACTCGATGCGGCTTATTTATTTATTTATTTCATTTACTTATACCCCCCCTTCTCACCCCGGGGGGGGGGGACTCAGGGCGGCTTACAGAGGAGGCACAATTAAATGCCTAAATCAATTGACAGTAATACAAAATACAAAAAAGCAATTCAACAGTTAGAATTAAAAACATCAGTGCATAATAAAATATTAAGACAATCTCATGCTCGGGTTCAGAGTCCATATATCCATTCCATTCCATTTGTCCTTGTCTGTCGTCAGATCCTTAATTTAGCTGCCAGTGTGTCCAAAGGCTTGGTCCCAAACCCAGGTCTTCAGTTTTTTCCTGAATGCCAGAAGGGAGGTCGCCGATCTAATCTCCCCGGGGAGTGAGTTCCACAGGTGGGGGGCCACCACTGAGAAGGCCCTGCTCCTCGTCCCCGCCAACCTCACTTGTGACAGTGGCGGGGTCGAGAGCAGGGCCTCCCCAGAAGATCTTAAACTTCGAGGTGGGATGTAGAGGGAGATCCGTTCGGACAGATACACTGGGCCGGAACCGTATAGGGTTTTGTAGGTCAAAACCAGCACTTTGAATTGTGCTCGGAACTGGATCGGCAGCCAGTGGAGCTGACATAACAGAGGGGTGGTATGCTCCCTGTATGACGCTTCGGTGAGTAATCTGGCTGCCGCCCGCTGAACTAATTGAAGTTTCCGAACAGTCTTCAAAGGCAACCCCACGTAGAGTGCGTTGCAGTAATCTATTCAGGATGTAACAAGAGTGTGGACTACTGTGGCCAGATATGACTTCCCAAGGTACGGGCGCAACTGGCGCACAAGTTTTAATCGTGCGAAAGCTCTCCCGGCCACCGCTGAGACCTGGGGTTCCAGGCTCAGAGATGAGTCCAGGATCACTCCCAAGCTGCGAACCTGCGTCTTCAGGGGGAGTGTAACCCCGTCTAACACAGGCTGTAACCCTATACCCTGTTCGGCCTTACGACTGACCAGTAGGACCTCTGTCTTGTCTGGATTCAATTTCAATTTGTTAGCTCTCATCCAGTCCGATACAGCAGCTAAACACCGGTTCAAGGTCTGGACAGCCTCCTTGGTGGCAGGTGGAAAGGAGTGACAGATTTGGACATCATCTGCGTAGAGATAACATCTCATTCCGAAACTCCAAATGATCTCTCCCAACGGCTTCATGTAGATGTTAAATAACATCTAAAGCAAATTAAAAACAGTTAAGCAGAATAAACAACAAACAATAAACAATACATCAGGACACTATAAAACTGGGCCGGGCCAGAGTAATGGGTACAAGATTAAAAGTGCTGATGTGGCAGGGGGTCCACGCTCTTGTTACATCCCGGATAGACTACTGCAACGCGCTCTACGTGGGTTTGCCCTTGAAGACGGTTCGGAAAATTCAACTGGTCCAGCGAGCGGCAGCCAGGCTGCTCACTGGAGCAACATACAGAGAGCATACCACCCTCTGCTGTGTCAGCTCCACTGGCTGCCGGTTCAGTTCCGAGCACAATTCAAGGTGCTGGTTTTGACCTACAAAACCCTGTATGGTTCCGGTCCAGTGTATCTGTCCGAACGTATCTCCCTCTACATCCCACCACGGAATTTAAGATCATCTGAGGGGGCCCTGCTCTCGACCCCACCGCTTTCCCAAGTGAGGCTGGTGGGGACAAGGAGCAGGGCCTTCTCAGTGGTGGCCCCTCACCTGTGGAACTCACTCCCGGTGGATATCAGGACATCGACATCACTCCTGTCCTTCAGGAGGAAGGTAAAGACATGGTTGTGGGACCAGGCCTTCGGGCAATCTGCCAACTAAGTAAGGACAACCAGACAAATAGGACCAGCAGGACTGATAACTGTGGAATGAAACTCTGAACTATGAGATAGCGAATATTGACCGGCAATAAGGAGTAATTGGTGTGTATCGGTTTGTATGAAAATTTTATAGGTTTTATTGGTTTTATTGGGTATAGATATGATGTACTGCTGTTGTTTGCTATTTTGTGCTATTGTGTTTTATTATTGTTGTATGTTACGGGCATCGAATTGTGCCTTGGATATGTAAGCTGCCCTGAGTCTCCTTCGGGGTGAGAAGGGCGGGGTAAAAGTAAACCAAATAAATAAATACAAGGTTAAAAGTGCTGATGTGACAGGTGATATGTAAGGATTATAGGGTAAGTGCAGCGTGCAGTGTGCGGCAATCTCAATTCTAATAAAGTGCTACTGGGACTTGTTGGAGATTTCTATTCTGGAAAGGCACATCGGAACAGCCAGGTCTTCAAGTTCTTTCTAAAGACTGCCAATGTAGGGGCCTGTCTAAGATCTTTGGGAGGGTGTTCCAGAGTCAGGGGGCCACCACAGAAAAGGCCCTGTCTCGCGTCCCCACCAAACGCCTGCGACGCAGGTGGAATCACGAGCAGGGCCTCTCCGGATGATCGAAGTGAGCACGTGGGTTCATAAACGGAGATGCGTCACGCAGGTAGGATGGTCCCAAACTGTTTAGGGCTTTGTAGGTAAGCACCTGCACCTTAAATTGGGCTCGGAAAATAAACGGCAGCCAGTGGAGCTCCTTGAACAGGAGGGTTGACCTCTCTGTGTAGGGAGCACCAGTTAACATCCTGGCTGCTGCCTGTTGGACCAGTTGGAATTTCCGAGCCGTTTTCAAGGGCAGCCCCACGTAGAGCGCATTACAGTAGTCCAATCTAGAGGTGACCAAGGCATGGACCACCCCGGCCAGATCAGCCTTTGCGAGGTACGTTCGCAGTTGGCGCACGAGTCCAGTATCTGAATCCAGATTGTGTGCATTGAACTGGATTATATGAGTCTACACTGCCAAATAATCCAGTTCAGGTGCTAAATTCATAAATACAGTAATTACTACATTTTTTTTTTTGTCATGACAGGAGCAACTTGAGAAACTGCAAGTTGCTTCTGGTGTGAGAGAATTGGCCGTCTGCAAGGACGTTGCCCAGGGGACGTCCGGATGATTTGATGTTTTTATCATCCTTGTGGGAGGCTTCTCTCATGTCCCCGTATGAGGAGCTGGAGCTGATAGAGGGAGCTCATCCGCCTCTCCCCGGATTTGAACCTGCGACCTGTCGGTCTTCAGTCCTGCCAGCACAGGGGTTTAACCCACTGCGCCACCGGGGGCTCCGTATTGTGTATTTTCTGTTTTTAAGTTTATCTTAACTTATTTATTTCTCGTGTCAGGGCAGCCAGTCAATTATATTACATTTCTAACAGAACAAAGCAAACAAACAGAGAAAATTCAAAATGTTTGAGTTTGGTAGTTGATTAAATGTCCTTTGACCAGTATCTGGCCACTTGGAGTGCTTCTGGTGTTGCTGCAAGAAGGTCCTCCATTGTGCATGTGGCTGGGCTCAGGTTGCATTGCAGCAGGTGGTCAGTGGTTTGCTCCTCTCCACACTCGCATGTCGAGGATTCCACTTTGTAGCCCCATTTCTGAAGGTTGGCTCTGCATCTCGTGGTGCCAGAACGTTGCTTATAAGTTTATTTATTGTTTTGTATTACTGTTGCTATTGTTTATTGTTGTATTGTGGGCTCGGCCTCATGTAAGCCGCACTGAGTCCCTTGGGGAGATGGTAGCGGGGCACAAATAAATTATTATTATTATTATTATTATTATTATTATTATTATTACCTAATACTATTTATGCTATTTATTAATGCTATTTATTAATAGTAGTTAAATGTTAAAAAAAACCCCAAAATTATGGCAACAAGAATGATTGACAACTGGGAAATAGAGGGAGAAACATGGAGGCAGTGACAGACTTTGTATTTCTAGGTGCAAAGATTACTGCAGACGCAGACTGCAGCCAGGAAATCAGAGACGCTTACTTCTTGGGAGGAGAGCAATGACCAATTTTGAAAAAATAGTGAAGAGTAGAGACATCACACTGGCAACAAAGATCTGCATAGTTAAAGCAATGGTATTCCCCATAGTCACCTACGGATGTGAGAGCTGGACCATAGGGAAGGCTGAGTGAAGGAAGATAGATGCTTTTGAACTGTGGTGCTGGAGGAAAGTTCTGAGAGTGCCTTGGACTGCAAGAAGATCCAACCAGTCCATACTTCAGGAAATAAAGCCTGACTGCTCATTGGAGGGAAGGATATTAGAGACAAAGTTGAAGTACTTTGGCCACATCATGAGGAGACAGGAAAGCTTAGAGAAGACAATGATGCTGGGGAAAATGGAAGGAAAAAGGAAGAGGGGCCGACCAAGGGCAAGATGGATGGATGGCATCCTTGAAGTGACTGGCTTGACTCTGAAGGAGCTGGGGGAGGTGACGGCCGACAGGGAGCTCTGGCATGGGCTGGTCCCTGAGGTCACGAAGAGTCGGAAACGACTGAACAAATGAACAACAACAATGCTATTTATTAGAAAAAAGCCAGTCTTGCCTTTTTAAAAAATGAATGCTCCCAATGTTGTTCATTTGTTCAGTCGCTTCCAACTCTTCGTGACCTCATGGACCAGCCCACGCCAGAGCTCCCAGTTGGCCGTCACCACTCTCAGCTCCTTCAGAGTCAAGCCAGTCACTTCAAGGATGCCATCCATCCATCTTGCCCTAAATAAATAAATAATTCATTATATTTATAGCCTGCCCTTTTCATTCCAAAGGGGACTTAAAGTGGCATACAAATAGGCAACAACTCAGTGCCGCAAAAGCCAACATACAAATAGG